CCACAGTCGAGTACGACTACCCTCCACAGTTTGTGATTTCCACAACGATGGCGTGCGCCGCCCACACACTGCAAAACATTCGAACGGCGCATTTTCCCGCTTCGCGCGGTAAATCGACGCGTTTGAACAGCACGCTCAACAAATTTCCTCATTGCATATCAGCAGTCAGTATTCGTTTTGTAATTGTTCTTTTTTGTCTTCCGTGAATTTGCAAGACATCACTGTCCTTCTAACTAATCGGCGATGAAGTGAGCAGTAAAGCTGAGGGATCCTACTTTTTCCACTGTTTTTTCGAGTTTTTTGGAACAAGCTCTTGGTCTCTTCCAACCTGACATTTTTTAGCGACAGTTGTGTCATTCTTTTGAGGGATTTTCAGGCATTTTTATGCAAGCTCGTTTTGTTTTGTTCCACAGAAGTTCGAGGGCGGATGTTTGGTTGGAAGGGTTGCTAAAACACTTCCTTTTACAGTTTCGTCACCAGCTTCGTGTGATTTATCTTCATGGATATCGAAAAGTCCCTCAAAACACGTGCTAGTGATGTAAAGTGTCCTGGTCGTTGCTTGATAGGTTCTGCATTGCGTGGTTATCGGAGCACGTTCGCGACAAGGGCTCGGCCTGCCGTTGGCAAATTTTCTTCAAAATAAACAAAATCCCCGCAAAAGTTTCCCCTCTGGTACGACCCCTTCCCTATTCCCATCCTACTCACCATCTTTCTAAATTCTTCCACTTCCTAGCTTTTCCGGAGTTTCTTTTTCTGAAAGTTTTCCAGGTTTCTCTCCCAAAAACTGCCACCGAGCGGTGGGGCAATTGAAACAGGGAAAACTGACAAGAGCCAGCAATCGAGAACATTTTTCATCCCCTTCGGGAATCCCCAGCGCATGACACCGTGTTGACGATGTGAGGGGAAAGCTGCGGCAGCGCTAACGCGCGCACCATTTGCATGTATTTTGACCGGGAATCATTTCCAGATGGCTACTGTTTCTCGACGCTTTCTTCTCATATGATTGAAATACTTGTTTCCTCAGTGATTCTGCTTGTAACTGTTTATAGCTAATGGTAACTTTTTTAAGGAATGTCATCTCCGGTAAAAGTCACACCTGCACAATATCGAAAATATGGAGTTGATGGAACTCTACGGCTGTCTACTGGTTTCTTCCAGGTAAAATTATCAAAAATGTTCTGAGCAAAGTGACTTATATAGGCTTCTACTTTTACTTTTAGCGTTATTTCGAAAGCGACGGGACGACGACGGAAGTGCCTATACTTCAAGTTTCGGTGAGTTTCCCTAGCACTGAATACTTCCTATCAAAAGAGATTTATCGCAATGTTGCAGCTAGCCAGGAGGCTGGTAGAAGGAATGGCTGGTTGGCCGGACTCTTGTTTAAGACTGCGCTTGACTGACGGTGCTTTCCACTACTCCGGTATGTAGCGATTCATTCTTTCCTGTTTCAATGTTGCAATGACCTTTGATTTCAAATCATGCCAAGAAAAATCGAAGGGTGTGCATTGGTGTGCCAGAGCAAAGGTGTTCTGCTCCAGTTCCAGTAGTACCTAGATCGTGGATCGCCCCCAGTATTTTCATAGTCTTGGAAGAGATCATGTTTTATGAGGCGCTTATGTTCACTTCCCGTCTGGGTTGTCATTTTCATTACCATTTCTAGTTGTAAGTAATGGGGAAAAACTACCGCATGGTAATATATCATCAACCACACGGGTTGTTACCCAGTGTTGGTTATCAGGGGTTGAAAGACATGGTGGGAGACGGACAAGACATTTGTCGCACCGTCGCGTGCGGCGTATTCGCGCGTATGCGCGGCAAGTACTCGATATGCGTTAGTTTGTCGATCGGAGCAGCGACACTCACATGGACTCAATCGGAGACAAGATTCCATAACGGCGATATAGAACATCCCGTCGGTTGGTGCTTGCTCAACTTTGAAACGGCAGGGACAGCGGACGCCTGGGCGTGGCGGCGGAGGGGGCGGGTCCGCTTCGCCAGCCTCGCCAGCGCGTTATATTACAAGTTGCCCTTGTCAAGTCTCCAACCCGTTCATGCAGAGCTACAACGAGCAAATGTTGTTACGGAATAAGTTGCCTTAACAAAGCAAAAAGATATCACTGTGAGGTAATAATAATTCAATATCTAGTGAAGGCAGCTAAGCTGATTTGGTGCTGACCGGTGCACCACTAAGTCTGTTTCTTTTAGGTGAGATAGCAATTAGCTGGGACTTATCGGTCAAAGCTGTGTATAGTACAAACAAAAAATAGATTGATTAAAAAAGCAATATTCAATGCGAGAGCAAATGGACTTGGGCTCATGCTGTTGAATTGCAACCCCAGTCATTCTCCTATTACAAAACACTGTATGGCGGAGGTAATTTCGTGGTAAATGGCCCGCTTACCATGCGCGCGATCCTGAGGTGAAATCTCGGATCGGTTTCTACTCAGGTTAGCAGAGACCTCTACCATCTGGAGTTGGTAAATTGGTAGCAGGTTCGCTGGGAGCATGAAAATGATGACTTATTCATCGGCTAAGCTCCGCAGTGTTCTGTACAGGCCATGAGACAATCAGCTGCCACTGCGATTCCAAACTGGGCGCAAAGTTCGGTGCGCAATCTGACAAAGGCAGTTGATTGACAGTTGCACTTCCTTGTAGCGTTACCAGCAGGGCAAAGATAGCGATCGTTTAGAAGACAAATAACATTGTAGTTCTGTCAGCGTAGGTCGTTAGAAGATGCCGTATGCTTATAATTGAACGCTTCAGGTCCGTCTTTGTGGGTTAGCAGCTTGGGAGTTCAGTTGGACCGCGACAATCTGGTTGGTAATGCTGAGAATGGTGGTGAAATAATTGCGGTTACTAAGATGTACATCAATCCTACAGGATGTGTGGGAAAGAAGGATAACGCCCAAGGCGTAAACATTTCCCTCATTTGTGCGCTTTTGTCAATGTGCATAGTGAGATCATAATCGACCTTTTTGTCTTCGTTTGCAGTAAGCCTATGCTGATGATTGCTGGGTACGAATTACTTTCAAGAGGGCACCCGATACTTTCTCCCTGGTGGTGAGCCATATGGATGGCGACAGAAGGTAGCTCTCTCTCGCGTAATAGATGCCTGGTATTTATACCAGGCAGAAACTAAAGATGGGTAGATTTTCACGTCAGTGCGAAAAACTTCGTATTGCACTTTAATTTCTGAAATCTCAGTCTTGCTTTGAAATAACCGTTTAAGGTGATTAAGTTTCTCCACCTTTCAAACCACAGAATTACTTCTGTTCCAGTGGAGGTAATCGCAAGGCAATCTGTCTGCTCAAGGAGCTGCCACGTGAGTATGCTTTGCAAACTTTGATTTAGCCTAAAATGAATTAAAGTTCAGAATTACCTTGAAGTAATTTTCAACTTTATAGCAGATGCCTAAGATTTCTTAAGACTCAATCTTTTTATTTTATTTTATTTTATCTTATTGATCTGGATCGGTTGACAGACTAGCGCGCTCATTTTATGTGCGGCTGTGACAATTCGTGTCACTATGCAGGATTCTTGCGCCCCTTGTTTCAATTGAAATGTTATTGCGTCCAGCATGGAACGAGCTCTGTTTCTGTAAGAGCTGAAGATGTAGGTGTATCAAACTCTGGCTGATTTACTGTGGCTTAAGAGACTGCTCGCCACCGGTACTCTCGTCGTGCCACAAGGCGCGTTCGGATCTGGCATGTTACACCATATGACGGCATGATTTACACCAATATATCAAGCAAATGGCCGGATTTTGGCCTGATGTACGCCAAGGCATGAATTCAAAAACAACGAAGGCCTGTTAGCGTGCTGTGACATGAAGGTTCTATTCTTGATATTTCTTAGAGATCTTATTTTGGCCCAAAATCACTGGGTACATAAGTTGGCGCCTCCACACGTTGCGGCACGTCTACATCTGAATGTGCGAGGTAACGCCTCCTGGCGTCACACATGAGGAAGAAAGGACGTGGTCGGACGAATTCTTGTTTGCTGATGTCGGCTTGTTTCGCTTATCACCGCACTCTCACTATTTCAAATCGAGTGAGCTAGCGGAACAAGATCACCAGGATACTTTCAGAAGTGATGGTTGGGCGTCCCGTGACCAGGATCCGTGGCTTCGTCGCGAGCGAGTCGCGCTCCTCACGTATTTTTGAGCTACGAAAGAATACATGCTTGCGGGCAGACCTCCATGTCCAAGAAAGGTGTCTGAACATCGAGTGAACGGAGACGTGCCTTTTAAGGACTCTGTACATGAGAGAACTGTCATGGGCTCGAAATTTGTGCAGCTCGTCAACTTGTCTGAAAAAAGAGAATGCTCTCGAAACATTGCTTATTCACTTGTTATAGGTGTTCAGTTTTGAACTAACGGATAAGGACGGTGCTTCTATTCGTATCACTGGCTTCAACGAGGCAGCGGAAAGGGCCTACAGTATCATTCAAACCGAATGTGTACGTATCTTGTATCACCTTTTCGTCAGAGCGTTAGAAATTATCTCCTATATATGTATTTTTTGTAGTCGTACTACGTAGCTGGAGGTACAGTAAAGCAAGCGAACAAACGGTTCAATACGACTGGCCATGATTATGAGTTAACAATTAACGCCAATACCGAGGTGAGCGTGTACTGTACTTTTGTCTGGTAGGTTAAATTCATCTGGAAGGAAGTTTTTTAGTTGCATTCTATTACTTTAAAGGTCGCTGGTTCAATCAAAATAATATAGATTGCGCCGTGTCATGACCAAATTCCAAAGCCGGCATTGGTACTGAAAATTTGTCCTCTTCAAAATATACCGAGCCACAAGGACGAATTTGTTGACGTGTTGGCAGTGGTCGATAAGATGGAGCCCGTTAACAAGGTACCTTCACTTGATGCAGCTGAAAAAGACATTATTGTTTCTTGAAATTTCGGTTTCAGTTTATTTCGAGACAGGGTCGGGAGTGCGTAAAGCGTGACCTCCAACTAATTGATCAGACTGGAACCGTAGTGCAGTTCACGCTGTGGGGTGAACAAGCGGAGAACTTCGAAGAGCATGCTCTCGGGCAGGTCATCTCTATAAAGGGAGCTTCAGTGAGAGAGTGGAATGGTAAGTTCACTGTTTTTATACCCAAAGTAGCAGATTCTCCTACTTCTTCTGTTTATCTTCAGGAGCGTTCAGCCTAGGAATTACATCTGGATCAAAAATTGAGTTGAGCCCTCAGCTTGACGAGGTTCCAAAGTTATATGAATGGTACACGAATGAACGAGCATCGGTCGATACAAAAACAATCAGCATGACAGCTTCTGGAGGAAGTGATGCCTTTAGTAAGGGCATATATTCTTGAGGAACTTTCATAGCTTAAGTGTTTCTACGTTTTTAGGTCGCGATCTACGTTTCATCGGTACTGCTACGGCCCTGCAATTGGGAAATGAGCCAAATCTTGCAAATGGTCGTTACATGAACCTGAAAGCGATGATCACTACAGTAAAGACTGATAACGCTCTGTATCAGGTATAAAATTTCAGCGTCATCAGCTTTCTATCAAGATCCTTTCTTGGCTTTTTGTCAGCATTTGCCGATGGTTTGAACTTCCTTTCCAGTTTCCAATTCAGAGTGAAATGTTTTATTTTCAGAGTTGCTCTAATGAAGGATGTTCAAAGAAAGTTGTTCAACTGGGTGTTGATCAATATAGATGTGAGAAATGTGACACGACAAGCGATTCGTTCAGATGGAGCTATATGGTCCAAGTACGTAATTATACCAGTCTATAAATTTCTTTGATTCCCCTGGTTCTTCAACAGCAGGAAACTAAATTCAAAAAAATTCTACCTCTAACTGTATTTAACGCTTCCATTTGATTTGCATCGTATTATGCTGACAGTGAACAGGGCTGGCTTGACCTGCGTCAAAGCCAGCCCTGTTCACTGTCAGCGACCCTGCGGAAAAGCGCTTGATAAGAATTGATGGGAGAATCATTGGGCCGAGCGGGCGAAAAGCGAATCTTTCTTGAAAGGAGGAGGATCCATATAGCGAAACTGGCGCCGCTACCGCTCTCCTAGGTGGAATCAGCGAAAACCATGAGTACTTTGCGCATTCTCCCACACGTTACGTATTTGTTGCTTCCCGCCGTCTCTCTGATTCGTCAGAGTCGCCTGTACGAATTCTGTTTGATAAAGGTCTGTAGGAACGGTTTCGGCTTGCCTGTAATGGTGAGGCTGGCTTATTCCGGAGTTGGATAGGTGTTGGTGCATCGCGCTCTTTTTGCTTTCAGTTACGCGGTTGTTTAAAGTGTTCGCCGTTGTACAATCCCTTTTTGGAATTCTCATCCCATTGAGAATCGTAGTGGCTGATTGAATGCAATTTGTCCTAAACTGCTTGCGGGGCCAGCCGATTTACATGTTAGTGCTCTTACTCGTACCAATTTACTGCCTTCGAAGGATAGAAAGCTTGGTTGGTCATTAGAGGGCAGCCAATCTCTTTTCGGGGCTGTTTTGACTGCAAAATGCTTCGTAATGACTCGCTATCCAATCTAGCAAAAGGAGAGTAGCGTTTGTTGAAGTCATTATCCGTATTACAGGCTGAACTCACCGATCTAACCGGCTCAATATGGGTGACTATGTTCTCGAGCTCTGCGACCAAAGTATTTGGAATGGAAGCTCAGAAACTTGGGGAACTCAAGGAGGCTGACGTAATATTTTCGATTATTTTATCAATTTTGCAAATTTTCTCAACCTAACTGCTAGCCTTTTCAGAAGGATGCCTATGATAAGGTGTTGACCGACCTTTGTTTCAAATACTTCAATTGGCGGATAAATGCAAAGCCTAACACATACAATGTGAGTTACCTCCGTCTACTGAACCGAGGAGGATAATTATCTGCCCTTGTATACAGTATGTGGTGTTATTAAGCTGGTAGCCAAGATTGTTAAATACTCTTATTAACGGTTGACGTTTCGGCGTCGTCGCCTTCTTCGGAACCTGGAAAGTCGAAAAGCATTCAGGAAACCCTTCGTTCCAAACACTATTTCAACCTACAGGAAAACTCCAAAAGGGATGTAAACTACTAAGACGACGTCATAGGAGTCCTAATGAATTATTATTATATTTATATTTATTAGGGCGTAGGGTTAATAAAGAGTATTTAACAATCTTGGCTACCAGCTTAATAACGTCACATACTGTATACAATAGAACCAAGATTCATCGAAAGTCGAACGTGGACAGTATCTGCCCTTGGTTTTTATCATAACATAGCAGAATCTGTCCCACTACCACGTTCCTTTTGGGTTTGGCTTCGTTTTTATGCATACTTCTCAAGTTATCTTTTGAAGGACGAAACTAGAATGCGGTATTCCGTCCTCGGGTGTGACCCAGTGCCGTACGATCGATACATCGCGCAGTTGGAACAGACCTTGGAGAAGTTGGAGCAATTAGAATGTTGAAAAGTTTGATATTTTCGTGAACTTACCGATGATAACTCCATTCCCACTGTACTCGACTAACTTTGTTCCAATTTATGTAGAAGTTTGGTTGCGATCTCTTACATAGTGTCGAGTATGCTTTTCATTTTTATGTACATTGGAAGAGTGTTCTACTCTAAATAAAGTTCCTTCTTTTTGTGTAAGTTTGCAGATGTATTAGGTTAGTTACCGCTGTCGTACCTTCTCTTATTTCGTGGACACATGCAGATACAGTAACAATTATCATATCCATTACCCGGATTTATTTGCACACGATGTGAACTTACACCCGTTTACTCGCAGTTGTTGGACTCGAATTTCGCAGTGATTCTCGTTCTTCTGAGGCGTCCATTTGCTAAGAGGGAGGGTTTTTGGAAGCAGAGTTCTCGGAAGGGAAGCAAGATATTTTCTGTAACAGACAGTCTATGCGCTCAATCAGTTCGTGAGAATCCTTCCTCATTTAAGGAGTCCAGTCTTCAGTCTTTAAGGGTTTTTCACTTTCGCGGTTGCACAATAAGTAGCGAAAGCGCAACGGCTTTTATAATGGCTGTTCTGACGCCTCCCTAATTGTCCCGCCCATCCTACCATAACCCAAAGGCTATTTTCTGTTACGGATTTTTACACCGCGCTTTTGTTTTTTTCTACTATCGGGGGTAAGCGCTTGATCCGAATGAGAAACTACTACGTAAGCTACATAGACATGAAAATTCTTCATGATGGAACTGTCATTCACTTCGGGGTCTCAAGTTCACTAATCTCCCCTTATCCAGCACTACAAGTACCAAACCATTAAAATCGGGGAACTGCCTAGACAGATGTTCATAAAATCCCCATCATGGTACCATTGTTCGGCCGGCGAATGGAACTCGGACCCGTTCGTATGTAACATAAGCCGCGTGCGATTGTGGCGTTATGTCCCAGTCGCGGCTCACAAGTTACGAGTTGACCCTGAGGAAACAGCATCGACCCGCGCCAACATCATGTTGAGTAGGTTGTGATCCTGTTCGATGGTGCGTACATCATTCCGCTTGCAACTCTTTTTCGCTGCGACCTGCGAACTAACTGCTCGCACCCGTATGCCGCCTCGAACTCCCAGCCACGAACTACGATGTTATGGTCTCTACGCAGCCACACATTTCAATAGTGTCATGCCGCCTTAGAAGAAAAAGAACCACATACTTCAGTGACTTGTGAACAAATTAGTGTATTATGCACCACAAACCTTGATCTCCAGCTCTCCACCCTTAGTATACTCGGCGACCTTTCAGCAGGATTTGAGGGGTTTCAAAGGTCTCACCACGAGCCTCTAATCACGCGAGACAACGGCACAGGTTTATGGTTGTATTAATGCCGTAACATTATTCAATAGGTACCTTTTATTATTGCTTCAAAGAGACAAGTCCCAATGATAGCTGCTTATCGCTGAAGGGACGCGTTACCATGAACTGCTGTTTCGGAGAACACTATTGCGCCTATCAGAGAATTGAGCATTGGAGGCCTTGACTAAGATGTCATAATGTGACCCAAATAAGTCGGAGTTCACGGGATCATCACACATTCGAAGCCGCCATTATTTGGGGTTTAAGTGGAGATTCATTCAGACCTATTACTTACGCGAAGAACATGAGGGGAATATTCTTGTTCTACTACGGTGGTTTCAGCGGGTTTTCTATGAAACGATCTTTTTGATATTGAAGACAAACCCTAAGATTGTATACATCGCTGACTGACTCACCAAGGAAGAATAAAATACCAAAATAAAATCATGGACCACCTCAAGGACCCCTGGCAGCTTTTCTAAACGAGTTTTCCGAAGGTGCTCCTTTCATGCCAGGAAAACGATATCCCGCAGCCTCTGGAACCTGATGGTAATACCGTCCAAACGAAAAACACTTTGTAAAAACTGAACTCGTGACAAAAAGCGGGACAACTACGGAGGTGCCAGAACTGCCCCTTATGAAGGCTTCAGCGTCTTTGCTTAGTTTGAAGCCGCGAAAGTGGAACAGTCATAGAAACTGCGAGCCAGACTTTTTGAAGAAGGAAGGACGGTAACGAATTGACGAAGTGCGTGAGCATCTTTGAGGAATTACGGCTCATCTTTACCATTGCTTCTCGGATCATGATCAAACTCTTTTATAAATCAGTGCGATTTGTTTATTCCAGCGTAAATGCTCCGTTATAGTTATAGCAAAGAGTTCCTGATATATGGCCGATGCGGTGTGTTCTGATCCATTGAGAGGAGAGAGATGGCGAGACATTCGTCGTCTGACGGACAGGCCCGTCGGCTTACGCAGTACCATGGTTCGAGGCAGGTCCCGAGGTGAAAACTATCACAGAACATTCCTCTGGAGGTGGATGGTTACGAATTTGGTTTCAGAACATGGCAGCTCTCCAAACGATGCGTGTCCTCGTTGTAGGAGCTATCATTGGTTGGCGATTTTAGTCGAGTCTGTACGACCCCCCCCCCCATTTTTTTGGTGGTACGACCCCCCTCCGGCCCTCTGTCCCTCCTCATCGAATCGAGCCGTCGAGCGGGGGGGGGGTAAATAGCACATGTGAAACAGGAAAAGCCGCGAGACAATACGACCCCCCCTTCTACCAATTCTCAGATTTTCCCCAACTTCCTGCCACTTTTTCCAAAATTTCCCGAAAACTTCCTACTTTTTCCCAAAAATTTTGCTGTCGAGCGGGGTATACACTACGCATGAAACAGGAAAATCACGAAAAGTCAACCACCACTCCTAGAAGGCCAAAAAGTAAATACGACCCTCCCCCTCCCAACAATGAGCAAGTACGACCCCCCCCCTTTACAACGTCCGTGAAGCGAGAAAAATCAACTATCAAAATAAATTTTCCCAGCCCAAATACGACCCCCTCTCCTGGCGGCCAAATACGACCCCCCCCCCTATTGGGGATTCCCCAACAACGATGTGCCCTGATTGGTCCCAATTTGTTGCAATCGCTCAGCATTCAACATCATTATCGTTGCAGGCGTTGTCTGGTTTTCAAAATCTGGATGTTATTGATATGGATACCATAGATATCAGCAACCTTAACAGGCAATTTCTTTTCAGGTTCGTTTCTTATCTCCTTATCTTTGCTTTCCTCCTACTATCATGGCAAAATGGTGTTTTCAACTTTGGATTGGCTATTTATGGGGTAGTCATCCTACTAAAACGATAAAAGGATAAAGTATTCGCCCGTTTGATCAACCTTGTGGGATGCGGTACGTCATTTGCTTCCATTCAGAAATCCTCTAGCGACTTACTGAAGCGATGTGGCGGTGATACCAAGTGACTTGCGGGGCAAGCGATGTACAAGTCAGTGTTTATCCTTCCCAGACGTAAATGCTGCGTACCAATTAGGCGGGTCCCCGGCTGAGGGGTAAAGGCCTTGGTTGCGTCAGGTGCGGGTGTCGAGCCCGCGATTGCGAAGCCGGCGCGGGCCGCTGCGGTCGGGGTAGGCGGCCGCACTTGTTACTACACCACCTTCGGGTTCTCCGTGGGGTTCGAATCCCGGTCGACATCGCGCAGGGCGTAACCAAGCCTCTCGTACCCTCGGGGCCCGGGTAAATTTGTACCAGATTTCGTCGTGCGGAGGATAAAACACCTAATTGTACATCGGCTGGCCACCGCAAGTTCATTGTATAGGCCACATCGCATTCAATAAGCCACTACGATTCTGAATGGAAGTAGAATGCGTGCCGCATCCCACAAAGGGATTGATCAACGGCGAAGACTTTATCCTTCACTTTCCTCCTACCTAACATGGCAACAATGGTCGGCTCAGCGGGTCGGCTCTCTGTGTCGTTTTCAAGGCTCTTGGCTTGGCTATAGTTTCATTGGTAGGTGGCACAGTTTAATCGCACGGCGTGCAGTTCGTGGGTCGTCAAATCCTGGAGCCCGGCTCCGCGCGCCAGACACTATCCAGAGTTGTGTATGGGAGGGTAAGAATGCTGATTTGTACATCGACTGACCCCCCCCGCAAGTCATTGTATAGGCCACATCGCATTCAGTAAGCCACTACGATTCTGAATGGAAGTAGAATGCGTGCCGCATCCCACAAAGGGATTGATCAACGGCGAAGACTTTATCCTTTATCCACTATTGGGTGCACTACTTTGTTGAAGTGCTTTCTCAATCGCTTGGGATTAAGCTTTAATAACCTTATGTGAAGCTTTCGGCGTTCACCAGTCCCTTTTGCGATGCGCCCCCCATTGCACATCCTGCTCTGTTAAAAGGTTACCGTATCTACGCAGTTGATTGATTCGAAGCCCTTTTCTTTGTTTCAGAATGGCAGATGTTGGAAAGTCCAAAGCAGAAGGTAGCGGCTGCTTTCGTCCAGAATAGAGTCAGTGGGTGTACAGTGACAGCGTCAGTTTTATTTTACTGTCTTTAAGGTAGGATTCTCGTGAAGAGACATATGGATTTTATTAATTGTTATTTTAGCCACAACTGTAGAATCGAAGATAAGCCACCGTCCTTCTATCGTCAGTTTTCTCTAGTCATTTGTGGGCTCGACTCCATTGCGGCACGGCGATGGATCAACGGCATGCTTGTAAGGCATTGATTAATATTGTTAGTAGTGAACGGGGCTAGTGAAGTTTGGGTGTTGATTACAATAGTCTGGATAACCACATACTGTATGAATTCATGAGAACTAAGGCTGTGTTCATACATCTTTCGTCGCTCGGCAGCGTTTCGAGCGTACGGCAGCGCCAGCGACCAGGAAAGTACAGTAACCATCTAGCGTACGCTATCGTATGCCAGCCATGCCAGCGTCGAGCAACGCGTGCCACCGACTAGGAAAGTATGGGTATAGATCTCGTCCCAGCATACAGCAGCGTTTTCGCAGGCAGTTTTCCTCAAGCTCAGAGTGCCCCCGAAAAGCTGGCATTTGCTAAATCGATATCCATACTTTCCGAGTCGCTGGCGTCCGCTGGCATACGATGCCGTTTGATCGGTATCTATATACTAGTCGCTAGGCTGGTGTATGCTTGTGCAAAGTATGAACGCAGCCATATGCTATGTAGC